TCTTAAATCTTAGCAACTTAGAATATACAGGCATAGAAATAATCCTAAAAATTCCTAAAACTTGGTAGCAACCAACTATAAAGTTAGTACACATTTTCGAGGTCTAACTTTATAGCTGGTTGGAGCTTTGTATCATGTAATAGCTATTTACATGTGTAGCTGGTCTCAAGGTAATTGTGTAATTAACCAGTTAATTGTGTGATACCTGTAATGTGTAGTGGGGGCCTAAGACTCATATACTTGAAGTTATTGTGGAGTTCTGCTCAAAACTACCAAAGAAGTCCCATGATTCTAATGATTCAGCAAATGCTAGTACATCGTCCCTAGATTGAAGGCATTAAACTGAGCTGGCCTCCTTTACAAGTCTTAATGGAAATCACTTCAAAGCAAAGAAGCTTTATGAGAAGTATGTTAATCTGAGCCAGTATCCGATGGCAGAAGATGGGATCTAACTCAAAGGTAAAAAACATAAGTTGAAGGTTCACAATAAATCAATATGGTCATACATTCTTCTACTGAGAAGACAGACAACAGAACCAAAAGAGATAAGACTCTTTCATGTTATCAGCAATTAGTTGGTTTCACTGTCTTTCCTAGGTAGGACTGGAACAGAAATTATGGGTGGGAAGCCATGGAGTAGAGAAATATTAGTATGGTCTAGCTGGTTTGTTAAAATATGAAAATGGCCTTATTAGGAGAAGGCAATTCTTTCACATTGGAGTGGCTCATAGCAGGTGACGCCAGAAAATAGCTTCATGAAACCTAATAATCTTGTCACAGAAAATGAAAAGCTGGTAAAAACTGATAAAATAGGAAAGATGCCATGGAGTGTTAACTGTTAGCAGCAGGAAGAACTTTAAACAACCAGCTGTAAGGGTGAAGTTACACGTTACACATAGACCATACTAGGGGCATTTAAAATGTGTCTGTATGTTAAAGCTCATTAACTCATGACAAGCGCGCTCTGACCATGTCAAAGTTGCACTACTTCAGCAAAGGGTTAATTCTAGGTCATGCTACCCTAGCTTGTGTTAGGGTAATTTAAGTTTCCTCCATAGAGATAAAACGAACAATTTACAGTCCTCCAGTATCACAGGATGCACCGCTCTCAGTCAATAGTGACACTTAATGGCCGCATCCACACGTGTTGCGGATGTTTGTTTCCCTGGGGAACACCCGTGCCATACACGCTTTGGTGTGCAGCAAGTTACCTCAGGTGGGATAGGGGCAGCTGGGGCCTGCACTGGGCTGGCCCCAGCAGCCTTACCGGGGGTCTGGGGATTCCCAGGGCTGTAGCAACAATGATTCTGCCACATGGAGCCTGGCCGGCAGCTCCAGTGTGGATCCGGGTGGCCCAGCTCCACTTTTGAGCAGCGAATGCTGCCCATGCATACGCAGCTCTGCTTTTTTTTCCCATGAATATCCAGGGGTCAAAAAAACCCACAGAAACAAAAAGCAGGGTAGCACCCACACAGGAAGAACTCCCTTGCAGCATGGAGAACACCTGAATGTGCGGTACGTGGCACTGCAGATGTTTTGCAGCACCACATACTGCATGGCTGTGCTCACCTGTGACTACTCACAGCATGTTCTGACTTTAACACTGCTTAACATTCCACAGATTTAGGATGGCCTAGATGTACTCTGTAACTTTAGTTATTTTCTTATTTCTGGACAATAGTTTTAAGCTAATTGTCCATAAAACTCACTTCTTGGAACAAGGCACACAATTAAAGAACAAGACAGCAGTGCTATATGTCACATTTTTGTCAAGTCATCTTCCTCAGACAATTAAAGCAAATATAAGAAAATCATCATTCACTATTTTAATCTGTTTTTGCAAAGGAGGGAAAAGCTGTGGTTTGAAAATCCAGCTCAAATGTCACATACTGTATGACAGACTTTATGCATGATTCTATCCTTTAGTTCACAGAAAAAGGATATTGGTTGGATACAACCTTCTTTTATAAAACTATTTTGGGTTTTTTAACTTCATGTAGCACTGTACATGTACTATGTATCACTGTACCGGCAATAATATGGGTACTTCATATTGCAATGATAAGATTGCTGAACGATTAACAGGCTGTTAATTATTACAAAGTTATTAATCAATGCTGGAGACACCAAATGTGGAATGACTGTTAAACGTTTTTAAATATGTGAGGATTTGTCAGTTGTTCATTTATATCTTTAGAACTTAAATGTTGAAATCATTATATTTTTATTTTTGAGTAATCTCTCATTAACTCTTGCAAATATCCTAAATTCTACATGCATTCACATTATTTGTGTGTATGCGTAGTATCTCACTCTACCTTTCTTTGTGTACTCATGAAAAATGGACAAGAGTATGAATTAAAACAAATCTTAATTTTTCATCTTAAAATCTTGACATGTTAAGATTATTTTGCCATGTTGTTCATAACTGTAGCTAATGATTTTGTGCAGTAGGCATGTCAGAATTAAATAAATCTTTGGCCATTTTACCTCTTAAATTTCAAGGGAGTTTCTGCAAATGAGTTGTTGGCTAGATTGACCAGACTTCACCCAGTGCTGCGACATGTGCTGTGCTGTATGCATCTATTTGAAATGCTTACTAAAACATTTAACATAAAGGGAAATGCTACAACCAAAAAGGTGAAGTGACTTAATTCATTCAGTAAATATGGAATGAAAATTTCCATTAACACTCACTAGGTTTTTGCAGTTCTGACAACCTACCTCATCTGTTATTTTTCAGGTTTTCATAGTATAAATCCTAAATTGCTGTACAAATGACAGTTACACTGGAATACCTGATACTTCAACAGCAGTCTGTCACAAGATGATGATTTGGCCTGACTGGAGAAATAATTTTAAATAATTACTGGTATATTATCACTAAATTAATCCCTATTACCTGGTTTGCATAATTTCATAACGCTAAGATTGTTTCCCTTGATATAGTAGTGCTGTGGGCTTAGGATGTATCAAAATGATAGGTGATCATAAAATGGAAGCTTAGATTACCACTTCGAGCTTGACATTCTTTCATATGGGTGTATGTAAGAGTGCATTGTAGTCAATAGTGTAAAATAAATAAAATAGTACAATTAAATATCTTTTATATACAGCAAAGTAAAATAAAATGATTGCAAGTCCTTATATACTGCTTTGACTAGGCCTTAGGACCAGTCACCTAACAAGGCTCAGTTGACCCAACATCCATCTCTTCATCACTTTGGTGTGTTTCCAGACTTCTTTGGTTTCACAGGCATTTTTAGAATGAGAAAAAGACAATTTAAGATGACCCAGAATTTCATTTTCTCTCTTACCATTACTTCGCCAAGTCATATGAAGCTCAATTTGGAATCTGACTCCAACTTGAGGGCCAATAAATTCAAACCATACCACAAGCTCCACGTGTAACTTCAAACACCTAATGGAACCTGGCAGGCATTAGACTTCAATCAGAGATTCATGACACATTTCTCTGAAATATTTTGGGATTTGAGCTAGTCAGGAATTTTTCAAAAAAGTGGTTTTTCTTTGGAAATCCTAATTCATGAAAAATAAAACTTTTCACAAAATGGTACTGGTTTCAACAAAACTTTAGACTAGGAAGTTGTTCAGAACCAGGATGAAATTTCTGGCCAAAATGAGAGGGTTCCCCTTCCACACACATGCGCACACATCTCAAAAATGGCAATAACCCTGACACTCATCTGGAATATGGGATACCTGAGTTCAAGTCAAGCAGAAATAAGCAGAACGAGATTTTAATCCGGATCTCCCTCAAGTAAGTGAATAGTCTGACCAGTGAGTTAGATCAGTCTCTTCTCTTCTCAGCCCTCAAATATTCTTATATTTTTGCATCTGAAGCAGAACAGGAAAAAAGAATGAATTCTCATAAATGTTCATGGGATGAGAAAACAGTTTTCCAATCAGGCTTTGTTGCAATTGTATCTGTAGGAGTATCTTCAAATTCTAATGCATCCCATAGCAGAACATTCTTACACTGCACCTTTTTATTATGACTGTATTTCTTTTTCCTGTATATAATAAAAATAATAACTCTGTGGCCTGAAAATTGGATCAAGATGTTATAATTCATATTTTTCCTTCCTTTTAACTGTTTTCAGTCAGCTTGGCTCTTTTTCCTGATTTAGAAAAATCATATATTTTCCATTTTTACTTTTGTTTTGTGCTCATTTGACTAAAATTAGCTTGTATTTAAAATGATGTCATTTGGCAAGTGACTAGCCTATACAGTGGGTTTTCCTTTGATAGCCATAGAATAAGAAACAAAAACAGAAGAGGGTTTTTTTTAAGTCATTGTAGAACATTAGCTACATGGTGTTACACTTTTTTCCTAACTTTTCATTAATATTCTGAATCTGGGACTTTAGCAAACTGATAGTAAAAGCTAAGAGCTAATATTCCTTTACATTATGGAAGGATTTCAGTCAACTCTTATTTATAATAAATGGCAGGTGTCAGGCAAAGACATTTCCTTGTGATGTACTGAAAATTTATCTTGAAGTATCTGGAAACTAAGAGTTAAGGATGAATCCCGCTTATATGTTCTCAGATGATTCAACCAAATTGATATGTAAAATTGCATGTAGATGAGTGACCCTTGGTTTGATTTCATAGTGCCCAGACAGGGATCTGCTGTTGTCACCTTATAGTGTCAGTTGGGTCTTCTGGCCTTAGGATGCCTCAGCCCTTTAAAGATTAGCAAATATTGGAGGTTCCTTCTAAGGGATAATCTTATCTTCCCTCTCAAAGGAACCCTTCCAGTGAAATGGTCATTGGAGCCCTTGGTCCCACTCTTGCCCCCTTTTTTTCCTGGCTAAACATTGTGGGGAGGTTGGTTGGTTGTCTGTTGGTTGTTTATCTGGGGTATTTTTCTTTTAAATTCTGGAATGTGATTTTGGGCTTATGAATGCTGTGGCAAAGCGATTGTATTGCGCATTAATTCCTCTCCCCTCTTTCTCCACTATGATTCAAAGCAGCATGCTTGACAGTTCGAGCCGTCTTGATGAAGAGCACAAGCTGATCGCCAGGTATGCAGCAAGACTGGCAGCAGAGACCTCTTCATCAGTAAGTGGTTTTAATTAGTAGAAGGTCGTTTTTTGTTTGGTTTTTTTCCTGTCTTGTTCCAAGGGTTTATCAAGATCAGAAAAAAAATATAATCAACAATGCTGATGGTTCACAGATTATTTTCCTTCTACTTTCATTGGAAGATAATGTGTTATAAAAGACAACAATGCTTTCATGCAGTTAGTGCTAGTTTAAAGAAACAGAATTGTGTATTTATACTTTATGCTATTTAAACAATTTGGGAAGTTAGCTGTTGCCCCTTTCCCCCAATCCCTCCATTACTCCACTATCTCTGAATGTAGAACAGAAAGAAAACTCGACCATTGCACTCAGACTAGATTGGAAAATACTGCCTGGGTTTGTGCTGGTTAAAGGTTAATGATTTACCTCAAAGGAAAAAAGCTGTAGTGAATCCATTTTAGTCTTTAGTTCAAATACCACAGCCACCAGGGCTCTAAGTGCTGTGCATTTTAAATAAAGATCTTGGACAGGATGACTATAATGACCCTATTGCATTAGCCTGATTCTCATTTTCATTTCAGAGCAATGATTATTCTACTCTATGAATCCCAGGATAAGGAAGGAATGACAGGCTGGAAAACTCATGTTTTCAGAAATAGAGAGACAGTGAAGCAGGAACTTAATTGAAGTGTATAAAAGCTTAAATGGCATAAATAAGGCCAGCCTAGTTACTTATTTCCATCTCAGCATATTTGAAAGAACAAGGAAGTATAAATGAATGTTAAATGGAAAGCAGCCTAGAGCAGAATGCCAGGAAGCATATTTCCACCTTGAGATTTACACTTTGGGGTCAATGGAAAGGGCAAAATCAAGCAAGGTTGTTCATGTAAAAGCAACGAGCCACATTCATCCCAGGTGAAGTCAGTGGAGCCACAGTGAGGATTAACCTGACCTGTGGTATTAAGCCATCTATCACTTAAGATTTCACAACATGTAAAGAGAAAGAAAGGAAAAGATGCACATGAACTGATGATCTCACTGTGAGTTCCCTGAAAATCAATCACTTGAGTGCAGATCCAATCAAATTTAAGGCAACCTCTCACTTGCAGCTGATTCGTCTTATCACTGAAGGAGAGTAACTCTTTATATGACCAGAATGCTCTGTTAATGAGGTCTCCAGATGGAGGACTCTTCCTGAAAACTATAACAATATCTGTATCTATTTTTTATGGTCTTTGTAGCACCCGAGTACTTGGAAATCCTTACAGAGTAACTAAATAAGAAGTAGATATGTTTTGAATAGATATTATTTCCCTTCCCCATCTATATTTTTCTGTCTTTTTAATATGTCCTTCAAAAGAAAAATTAGAGCCCTCCTCTGAACAGATTTTCATAAAAAAAACAAATATAGCAGCCATAAATTCTGATCTTCACCATAGTAGCCAACTGGAAGATAAACAACCTGTGCTGCTCATTCTGCTTCTCAAACAGACAAGGAATAGCAAGGCTTTCCAAACGAAAGGCCCCGGTAACTTTTATTTCATTTTTACAGTCTATCAGTGTGTGTTAAATCTCCCCTTTTTATGTGCTTTTTTTCCTTGAAGGATAGAATATTAGTGATAAACTGTTATAGGTACCAGAAAATGAAGTTTTAAAAACAAAGAAGATTAGAAATGTTTTTCCCTGCATGGAACAGAGCTTAACACCAGGAAAAAGCACTCGGTTCTGTGGGGTGCTATGCTCTGTGAAGAAGACACACATTTTCTTGCAAAGCTGGATTCTGAAGTGACACTTCAGATCCCATTTAAAGTAAGAAACATTCCCAGTTGCAGTGGCTGAGGGCAGTACCTCAGATGGTCATTTTTTTAAGTTCCAGTCCTTAAATCATGATGTTAAAAACATTTGTACTGAATATTTTGTTACTGAAAATAATATATTAACACTAGCAAATTGCCCATCATGAATGATGGGGGGAGGGGACCGGGTGGAGACAGAGTGCCACCACCCAGCGCCCTGTGGTGCCACCGCTCCGCCTCCAGCCCCCTGGGCTCTCCCTTCCACCCCCTGCATCCTGCCATCCTCCACTCCTGTCTGTCCACTGGGAGGGCATGGCCACACCTTCGATGCAGCAGTGAGGCTGGAGGAGAGGGGGCAAGGCCAGCGCTGCGCCACCAGCACCCCACACCACCGCCGCCTCCACGGTGCTGGCCTTGCCCCCCCTACCTCGGCCCCTCAGTCCCCACTGTCATGGTGGCACTCCACCATGTGTATCTGTCTGTACAGAGCACTCTGATTGGTTGTTTCAGTAAGCATTGTGATTGGCTGCCGAGATGACCAATGAAGCATGCTCATAAAGCGTTACAGACAGACAGACAGACTAAGGCTTTTATTATATTAGAATAATAGAAAATGCTATATAAATTCATGCAATGCAATGTCATGTATATGTATATTTAAATGTTTCATTTTAATAAATGCTGTAACCTTAGGTCGTTGCTAGTGAACACTACAAAGGATAGGACAACAAAGCTTAATAAGTGACAACTAGCTCTGTAGAAAATTGTTTTAAATCCCTAAATTTTCATTGAGAAAAAGTTCTGTTGTACCTTAAAACACCCTGGAATAACTCTTTTGCAAACATTTTTAGGGTGCATGAGAGGGCGATGTGGTCAAATGGGGTTATACTAAATCTGTAGCCTGAATTAAAACTGGATGAAAAATGAGGCTTTCAAGTGGGGGTTTCTGCTCTGTTTTCAAGGGAAGAGATCTTGTTAGGATCAGTGGAAAGTAAATATTTTCCATGTTTTTGAAGAAGCACTGGGGTCTATGTTGGAAATAGTTTATTTTGTCTCAAGTCTCAATAGCCTTGTCTACTGTTTAAAAATTAGGAGCCATATTACAGCAACTGCCAACAATGCTAGAGCTGCACCAGTGCTAAACTAAGGGGTTATCATCTACTGTGATAGATGGGGTTAGATACTTCTACCACTGTTTCTTGGAAGCCTCCTTAGAGGAGGCAAGTATAGTAAATCTATAAGCCTAGCAACCTAGCACTTCCACTGCTAGCATGCAACTGCTAACGCACACTAGTACTTGCACTGCCGTTGCAATATTAGGGACTTGTACTATAATATGGATACTTTTCTTTAATGTAGGCAAGTCTAATTTGGTTTAAACAGATGTCACTAAACAATTGTTGACTGCATGCTGAGCCCATGGACAGACGTTACATTTGTAGCACTAAGTAGGCCATTGCAGTGCTACAAAAGGGCAGTATACAACCATTTAAGCAGTTTGTAATATAATGTGAATGTAATTTCTGTAACAGCAGGTGGAACCATGGGGAAGTTTACAGAGCTGTGATATCTGTTAATTTGGACTGCAACTCCCAGATGTCCCCAGGGGCTGGGTGGCAGGGGGAAAAGGAAAAGGAAGCTTGAGGTTGGAAGAAGGGGAAGAGAGAGCACTGTGCACTTGAAACCTGGTCAGCCCCACACAGAGGAGTGCACAGTGGAGCTGGAGTTTTCACTGGTTTGGTCAGCCAGGACTGTGGGCTGAAGGAACTGGACTCAGACTTGGGGGAAGTTGCTGGCTGCTTTTTAAGCACTCTAGGGACTAAAGGCTTGTTTGGGGATACCTCCAGAGGCGTGGGAGAGAAATTAAGGTGCT